AAGTATAAGTATAAGTATAAGTATAAGTATAAGTATAAGTATAAGTATAAGTATATGCACATTTCGCGCAGTGTAGGGTTGGGCTCATATGGATTTTCACTTTTACTCTGGTCTCGCTGAGCTAAGTGAATGAAAGCGAAACTTTAATTGAAACGAACGTTTGGTGCGCCTGTTTTTTTTCGGGGTTAAGTGATTGATTATGTCTTGTTTGCTGCCTGGCGAATAGACACACACACACACACACACACATTCGCCCACACACACACACACACACACACACACACATACACGCATGGGCACACACCTATAGACACACTCATACATAGACGTACACTCGAGTAGACGACACACCGCACATAAATTTGATTCCAATGGTGTTTGCTGGCTGGTTGTTATTGTTGTTGTTACTGTTGCTCGACTGGGCGTGGCAAAGGGCATATGAAAAATTGACTAACCGACTAACCGAGTGACTGGCTGGGCCAGCCGGCCGCGAGCAGGGGATGAACGGGAATTGGCTGTGGCAACGGCGCCAACTTTGACAATGACTCTCCGACCACAATTCATTCAGCCTCAAATATTTACCACAATAGAAAACGAGCCGCGCGCGAAATCGAATCAATAATTTAATGCAGGTGACGCGAACATCGCTATCCAGCTCCAAATGGGAATGGCTGCAAAAGGGAATGGCTGGCCAGGTGGTAGCGGGAGAGAGGGGCGAGGGTCTGGCTGATGGCGAATTGGTTGTTTCTTTTGTCATTGTGGCCATTGGCGGCGTTAACGGTACGCTGCCATCCATAATAATGCCGGCCATGTGTTTGAGCCTTGTTTGCAGCTTGTTAGGGCCCTTGAAAGCGCATGGACATCTGAACTTCAGCCATGAAGCCATGAGGGTGGTAGAATAGGATGACGACGGCTGGGGCTGGTCTCTCTGTTGTATTCCATTTAAGCGTATATTCTTTTCTTTTTTTCAAGGAACGGAGGTGGGGCTGACAGTTGCCAACCATTTTCTTGCTGGTCAGGCAAAGGCCAAGTGTATTTGGCATTCACAACTAATTGTTCCATATTCATTTCGTTCTGGGCTTTAATTATTTAAATGTGTCTTTCAAATGCCCAAATTGAATTTCCTAAGCGGTCACTGTTCCATTTCCATTTGCGTTTCCTATACATCTGTTGCCTGAGTGCAATTACAATTATCAAGTAGAGTTGATTGTTTTAGTTCCTGTATTACAGTTGATGGGAATAATAGACGTTGACTCAATGTCAGTCCTCCATCACTTTCAATGTATTTGCTGTGTCATTGCCATTTGTTTCAGCAGCAAACATATATGATATTCCACTCTCAGTTCGTCTCATTCGTCATTTACTTTTAAGAATATTGCTGTTCCATTTTCATATTGTCTCATAGTCTACATGAATTGAATTTGTTGCTCGTTAAGCTAAATTTATTTATTTTACAATTATTACTTTTCACGTCCATTTTGTTTCCATGCTGTTATCTATTTAGGTCTCAACTCAGTTTATGCCCGGTTCCATTCCCATTACTTACCTCGGTTATCTCTTGCTCTCCCACCTCATTGAAGGTCAGCGGGAAAAGCCAAGAGACAACTCCATATCAGTCATGTGTTCGAGTGCAAACTTCACTTAGCTGATTACTTGTCCAACAATTCGTGATACCCATCGAGAGTGCAGCTCCAAAGGGTGTGATAATGTTGTTGCATCAGCTGTTAACTAGAGTTATTTTTGTCTTTACTCATTGAGGAGAAGGAGGAAGAGGGCATAGATTGTGCCTGAACGTATCTCTACCCAATGAAGCAACTCATCATCCAACTGATTGCTGATGGTTGACAGGGCAACTCTTAGTCGAGCACGCAGACAGCTGTCTGGTATGAGCTCAGAGTGAGTTTTCGCCGTCAAAGAAGTCGGTGCTTGATGCAGTGTCCGCTTCTTTGGACCCGGCGCTGTCATAAAAAATACACAGCTGCACGATGAAGGTCTACAAGGTGTCGTCATGGCTGAAGCTCTTGGCCTGGTTCGTGCTCACCGCCCTTTTTGTCAAGATGCTCGCGATGGTCCGGCCTGACGAAAGGCTAACTTCCGATCGTTTTGCCGGACGGGGACGCAATGTGGTTGTAATACGCAATGTGCCGCCAGGTGAGTGAGATTCGCCTGATGAGCTGATGTCAGTGAAATACAGTAGAGTCAACCCAAACATTTAGCTCCGGCGATGCCAGCGAAACCGAAGATCGACGCGCTCGTTGAGGATCTAACGGTCGTGCGGCAGGTGCTGCACGAGAATGCGAATCGCAGCTGGTCATTCGATGAGCAGTGCGCACCCTATCCGCGCCTCGAGGACCTTAACATTCAGAGTGAATACTATCAGCTCAGTGTGGGCGGCAACGTGAGCTACTTTCTGTATAGCGCATTCTACGAGCGTCGGCTCAGCGTGGATCGTCCTCCGAGCGTCGTTTTGCTGGGCATGATCAGCAGCTTCCACGGACCCTTCGAGCCCGCCTACTGCCAGGTTTGGTATGAGAACAACAGTCGGCCCGAACTGCTGGAGATGGTGCAACAGGACATGTCATGGTATGAAGATTGGGGCCTGGCACCCGGGCAAGTTTATCCGGCGCTCTTCACCTGCCCGATCGTTGGCGGACCGCGTCGTCATCGTGTGCCCCAGCTGGTGTCTCTGGTCTTCGGGGATCGCTGTGCCCGTGCCAGCAATGCTCTGTATGTCTACTATCGGGCGCCAGAGCGCCGTCGCTCGTTGCGTTTCGGTGTCTGTGTCAAGGACCTGCAGTTTCCCGATGAGGACATGTCGGAGCGTTTCGTCGAATGGCTGGAGATGGTGCGTTTGCTGGGCGCGGAGCGAGTGACGGCCTTCTACTTGGGCGGGAATACCTTGCATCCGAACACGATTCGTACGCTGCGACACTACGAACGGCACGACGGTCTGCTGGAGTTGCGTCCCTTCCGTTTGCTCGAGGGCGTGTCCAAGCCGGCGATCCATGTGTCTCTGAACAAGCGTCTGAACGAGGTGCTCATGTACAACGATTGCCTCTACCGCAACATGTACGAGTTCGACTATTTGGCTGTGATGGATGTGGATGAGCTGATCATGCCGCTGGGCGAGCTGCGCAATTGGACGGCCCTGGTCGAGCGGCTCGAACAGAACCCGAACGGCGACAGCAATGAACCTACCCAAGCCGGTAGCCGGTCGCCTTGCAGCTTCTGCTTTCGCAACGTCTACTACTCCAGAGAGCTGAAGCAGGATGAGACGCCGCCGTCTGCCTTCTACATGCTGCGGCACGTGGAGCGTGTGGCCCAGCATTTGGATGCGAATTCAGCTGTTAAGTGCCTGCATGCCACGGCCTATGTGACAGCGCTGCACAATCACTTCCCACTGGGCTGGCGGGGCGCCGACTATCCGCGCGATGTCCCCGTCGCCCTGGGTCAAATGCAGCACTACCGCGAGCCAGACGACCCCATGCAGCTCAAGGAGCCGCCGCCGGTGCGCGACGACAATATTTGGCGCTTCAAGGAGCAGCTGATCAACAACTCTTTGGCCGTCCAGCGACAGCTGGGCTGGTCGCTGCCCTAGGGCCACTCCCCATATCCCCAGGCTCTATATAGGCTCATATGCCTAGTGAAGCAGTTGCATTTCAGGTATCCTATGCTGTACAAAACTCATGATCGACATAAATCGGTGTCTAAATAGTTTCTGCCTAAGAGTCAGAAACGTCAAATTTAAACGGTAATTTTTTTTTTTTTAATATACATACATATATATAATATAATAATCATAATAATCGATAATTAAATAATTGACAACTAATCTGGTAAGCATTTTTTTAGTATTTGGGATTTGCGTGCTGAGTGATCTGTATCGATCACTAGCATTACTGATTGAAGCTATCGATGACTATAGGTATCGATGGAAGATATCGATAGCTATCGATGACACCGTTAGCTTGCCGGCATAATATCGATGACTTTTTAATACATTGCCTGCTTGTGATAGCTATTATATAAGTCATATCGATAGTTATCGGTTCGTCTCTTAACTTTATTAATATCAAGAGTAAATTCCATTTTCCAAAAGATACGCTAAGCCGCTGCAATTGAACAACTCTCAGCAGAAAGATAATAATTTTTTGCAGTCAGAAACTACTTATTTCGATAGTCTGGAACTGTGTGAGTTGTCTCATTTGAGCATTCGTGTCAGACGGCGTCGGGTTGTGCTCCTATTGATTTTATTTTAATTGCTTTTTTTTCGCCTGCCTTAATAGTCTGAGCAGCAATGTGCCTTTGTCGTCGAGCTACGTGCGGCATCATCGAGCAGCAGCCACTTGCCGCTTGCCCCATGCCACATGCCTCACGGTGTGGCAAAGATTTTACCTACAGCAGCAGCTTCGACTGTTTCTGTCATGTCAGCAGCATAATAATTGCAAAAGCTCGCCCACGCACACACGCACGAGATAAGAGAAGCTCGTGGGCCGTTGACACCTGTACAGACAGACTATATTGATAACATTTGTAAAGTTTTGCTTCTCTGAGCTTGAGTTGTTTTTTTTTTATACCCTGAACCCATTGAAAATGGGAAATCAGGGTATAATGG